GGATTACAGATGTGAGCCACTGTGCCCGGCAATTTTTTTTTAATTAGCCAGTGGTACAAGCTGAGATCATACCACTGCACTCCAGCCTGGGTGACAGAATGAGTCAAGGGTGAGAGGCCTCCTCGAACTGCCCTGTGCTCTGTGAATACAACCCTGCAAGCATCAGCCTCTTTAGGCTGGGTGCACCATAAGCAGTTAGCCTGTGCTATGGATGCAAGGCTAGGCAAGCTCCAAAACTGGGGCTTAGCCGGGAGGATTCTTCGGTTTGATCAGGAAAGAACTCAAGCATGAGCCTGTGTGGAAAAAAGCAGGTTTACTGAAGCAGCCGCAGCAGCAGAGTGGCTGTTTCCTGCAGAGCGGAGTGACCCATAGGCAGTGAGCCCAGAGCAGCAGCCAGCGGGCCGCTGACTGACTGTACTTATACTGACTTTTAATTACATGCAAATTAAGGGGCGGTTTATTCAGAACTTTCTGAAAAAGGAGTGGGGAGCTTCCGGAGCCATGGGAGGTAACTTGCTGACCATTGCTACGGCATGTTGCCATGGCATTTGTAAACTGTCATGGCACCAGTGGGGAGGTCTTTACGCTAATAAGCGGTGAGGATAATAGAGTTTGCTCTCCTGGCCGTCTGCTGGTTTGGGCTGTTTTTTAAGTGCAGTCCCGTCTTCACCAGATCCTGTTCTGATTAGCTAGGTTGTGTCTAGAAAGCAAGTCCTCCTGATCTCCTACCTCACTCTCTCTCCCACCACTCACAGGATGAACACTGATTACAAATGAACAACAAAAACTCCTTTTCTGTTGCTAGAGGTTTCAGCAGCTGAAAAGCTCCCACATACCTGCATTGCACAAAGACTAAAGCTGATTCAGACTTCACACGGCAGTGACTTATTCTAAGTGTGAGGTGACATGCTTACTCTCCCACGCAAGCGTTAGTCACTGCTATTCCGCTGTTTACCTTTGACATTACACAATGTCCAAGCTCTTCTTTCACAAAAGAAACTTTCTCTCAGCACAGTCTTCAAGCATAATACCTGCCAGACACTGTAGGTAGCCTATTCAACAGCCACCAGGCTGCCACCTTCCTGGCTGGTGGAGCTACCTCCCACACACACTTTTTTTTTTTTTTTTTGAGACAGAGTTTCACTCTGTCACCCAGGCTGGAGTGCAATGGCATGACCTCAGTTCACTGCAAACTCCATCTCCCAGGTTCAAGCTATTCTCCTGCCCCAGCCTACCGAGTAGCTGGGATTACAGGCATGTGTCACCATGCCCGGCTAATTTTTGTATTTTTAGTAGAGACGGGGTTTTGCCATGTTGGCCAGGCTGGTCTCGAACTCTTGACCTCAAGTGATCTGCCCACCTCAGCCTCCCAAAGTGCTGAGATTACAGACGTGAGCCACTGCGCCTGCCTGGAGCTACCTCTTTTTATTAAGCTTGTGAAAAGCACGTGCTCACTTTCTCAGCACTGCACACAACCAAGGAGATAGAATTTGACTCAATCCTGGTCAATGGGTAAGAACTAAACCCACCAAGAACGTCTGATTTATGTCTGATTGGAAGGTCAGAAAGAATCTGTCAGTGCTGAGACTCTGAATTAAACACTAAGCTGCACCTGAACCTCTTGTAGTGGAAAGGCCTTCTATCTGCTCTTACATGCTTTTGTTTTTTTCTGTTATTTGCAGCCAAAAGCAACTTTTCAATACAGGTACAAACTCTACTGCTGTTTTTACAAGCTCCTTGGAAATTATGTGACTCGTATCTACTTTTGCTATAAAAAGCACCTTGATTTATGGCACTGTAGTTTTGCTGTCTCCTCTGTATTCAGTGACAATATTAATCAATTTTGAATAGGAAAGCTACATGTGGCAGTTGTTCTGAGAAATCCCTATTGCTTTACCCAAGAAGTCATTGTGCTTTGAAAATGACACAAAAACTCTGAAAGGTTCATGCAACTGTTTCATAAAGTTTCAGAATGGGCAGCACACTAGGAACAAATGCATGTCAGAACCAATACAATCCACCTGACAGAGAGTATAATACCTTCTAGATATTTTCGGATTTTGACTCACAATCATTTATCCCAGCATGCATGTCTATACTATATGTGCACTGGACTCAATGTTTAAAAGTCAGTATTGACTTTTATGACACTATTCTAAATTGTAGCAATGATATTATTTTTTAATCACAACTTCCATGTGTTTGAGCCATTGATCCATTTGGTGATTCAGGGATCTAACACAACACAATGCCCAACCCTGAAACTGTAAATACAATGAACATACACAGTAACACACAAAGGAAGAATATCAGAAAAATAACACCTTGTCAGCCGGGCACGGTGGTTCACACTTGTAATCCTAGCACTTTGGGAGGCCAAGGCGGGTGGATCACGAGGTCAGGAGTTCGAGACCAGGCTGGCCAACATGGTGAAACCACGTCTGTACTAAAAATACAAAAATTAGCTGGCCATGTTGGTGCATGCCTATAATCCCAGCTACTCCAGAGGCAGAGGCAAGAGAATCGCTTGAACTTGAACCTAGGAGGCGGAGGTTGCAGTGAGCCAAGATCACACCACTGCACTCCCACCTGGGTGACAGACTGACATTCCATCTCAAAAATAATAATAATGACAATGGACATGGCGGTCCATGTCTGTAGTCCCAGCTACTTAGGAGGATGAAGCAGCAGGATCACTTGAACCCAGGAGGTGGAGATTGCAGTGGGCCAAGATCATGCCACTGCACTCCGACCTGGGCAACAGAATGAGACTGCCTCAAAAAATAATAATGAAATAAAATAGAAAATAACAACTTGTTGCCTGAATTTAGACAAGAGTTCATTGCCATCCCTGGAGTCCACATGCCACACAATTATTAAGGATGCAACACTGTTTCTGTGCAAATCAGCTTCAAATGTTTGAGATATATGGATTTCTTGCTCTTTTTCTCTAAAGCCTACCACTTAGAAAACCATTGACCACAAGTGGTTCATAGAACATATTTTAAGAAACATCACTCTAGGGTCAATTTTTTTTTTTTTTTTTTTTGAGATAAGATCTTGCTCTGTTGCCCAGGCTGGAATGCGGTGGTCCAATCACAGCTCACCGTATCCTCAACTTCCCAGGCTCAAGTGATCCTCCCACCTCAGCCTCCCAAGTAGCTGGGACTACAGGCACATGCCACCATGCCCAGGTAATTTAAAAATTTTTTTTAGAGGCAAGGTTTCAATATGTTGCCCAGGCTGGTCTCAAACTCCTGAGCACAAGCAATCCTCCTGCCTCAGCCTCCTAAAGTGCTGAGATTACAGGCATGAGCCACTGTGCCTAGCCACAAAGGCTGAATTCTTACAAAGTCTCATCATCTGCCTCCCTACCTGGGGAAACTGAATAATAAGTAGTTATCTTGGGGACTCTTAAGCTTCACGATCCACAGGGATTTGGGACCCTCTGCTGATGTATGGGAGAGATATTTTTGGCTGGAGGTAAGGGCCACTTTCCATCTTCCCTTCAAATCACTCAACTGCCTCGCTTCTGATTTCCTAATTGAAACATCCACACGGTGTGAGCCCCTTGCTGGTGACAGTTGCAGTGGCATCATTCGAGGTCGGGAATGGCTTGCCCTGTGTGGCCCCAGCTCAGTGCCAGGCACCATGATGAACTTTATGCCAGGATGGTGGCATAATAACAAGAATGATCTTATTGCGGGCAGCAGCTCTCAATGTGGCACCCCAAAGCCCCCTTCAATCACTCACTATATGCAGACAGAGTGCCTTTCAACACATCCTAGGACTTGTAGGAAACACTTGTGAGTACTGATCACTCCAGCGACCTTTCCAGGGGGAGGAGTAACCACTGGGGTTGTCCCTTCTCTATCCTTTGCCCCCTCCACCTCACAGCTCCACCAGCTTTCCATCGGCACCAGCCCTGAGAATGGAGTGAGCCGATTAAGGGGTCAGGTTACTCCTAAGAAGGATATTCACAACCCTACTCTGGTTAATTTCCTGTCCTGGCCCCAGGCCTCAGGGCTAACCAGGGCCCACCTTGGTAAAGGGATCGCATGGCTGTCATCCTTCAGGACCCACATCCACAAAAGGCCTTTTTTTTAGACCTCTGACATATTTCCCAAGAGCAGTAGATGCATCTTTTTGTGCATGTTTTAATTTATTGACACTAACATTTAAAGTACACTCTTTAAAAATGATCATATCCTGGCATTTCTTCATTTACTATATTTGTAGCCTCAAAAAATAGAAGTGGTTTGGTCTCTTCCGCCCCTGGGGCTGGGTGAGCTGCAGTCACACCCTGGCCATGTCCCTCCCTAGGGGGTGCTCCTCCCTTCCAGCCAGCAATGCTGCCCAACGCTGGAGGCCATCTCTGCAGAACCCAGCACACTGGCATCTCACTCCCAATTCAGCCTGGGAAATCAAGAGTGAGGGCCCCGCGACGAAGCCATGAGCTGATGCTGACGTGACATTAATTCACTGAAAACGATGGTGATAGGGGCCACAGAGCTTCTCACGCCGTGTGCCCTGAAGTCCCCACTCTGGGATAGAAGGGGACTTCTCATGCGATGCTGGAGAGTTCAGACATTGTCCTGAGGGTAATGGGGAGCCACTGAAGATGGGTGGGGATGAGTAGCCTGTTTAGAACTGTATTTTAGAAAGATCCGGCCGGGTGAGGTGGCTCAAGCCTGTAATCCCAGCACTTTGGGATATCAAGGCAGGTGGATCACCTGAGATCAGGAGTTCAAGACCAGCCTGACCAATATGGTGAAACCCCGTCTCTACTAAAAATACAAAAGTTAGCCCGGCATGGTGGTGCATGCCTGTAATCCCAGCTACTCAGGAGGCAGAGACAGGAGAATCACTTGAACCCAGGAGGCGGAGGTCACAGGAGCCAAGATCACACTGCTGCACTCCAGCCTGGGTGACAGAGCAAGAATCCATCTCCAAAAAAGAAAGAAAGATACCATGCCTCATGGGGGAAGAGAGACGGAAGCCTGAGGGTATTGTCCATGTATTTCTAGGTAGAAATTGCAAGTCAAACCCTTCGGGGGACACGACAGGGACCCTCTCCTAAGGGTTTCCAGTTGGAATCTTGACAAGACACAGGCCCTTTCCCAAGCAAGATGCTCCTCCCAAAGACAGGAAGCAGGCTGATCCCAGCCTCTCTTGGTGTAATGGTTCCTCCCTGTCAGGCCTGACAGGTAAGGGTAAGTAAATGCGGAAACCTCAAAGGGGAGAGGAAGTCCAAGGCCAAGAGGGGATCATCTGTCACTGGGCAGACTGAGGGTCTGATGTTCTGTTTTCTGGGGCAATTTGTCCATTTGCCTCCTCCATCATTTCCTTGTACTGACGCTTGAAAAAGCCAACCTGTTGGGGAGGACAGAGAAGAAACTCAGGAAGTCCATTCAGTGGAAGAGAAGAAGACAGGACTGAGGTAGACTGAGGGATCACTATTCTGGAATCCCTGCTAGGCTCAAAGCACTGCGCTAGGAAATTTACATGCATTGTGTCATCTAGATTTAGCCAAAAAAATTCTTTTTTTTTTTTTTTGAGACAGAGTCTCACTCTGTCACCCAGGCTGGTGTACAGTGGCACTATCTCAGCTCACTACAACGTCCGCCTCCAAGGTTCAAGCGATTCTCCTGCCTCAGCCTCCCGAGTAGCTGGGATTATAGACACGTGCCACCACACCCAGCCAATTTTTGTATTTTTAGTAGAGATGGGGATTCACCATGTTGGCCAGGCTAGTCTTGAACTCCTGACTTCAAGTGATCCACCTGCCTCAGCCAAAGTGCCGGGATTACAGGCGTGAGCCACCGCGCCTGGCCTAGATTTAGCCAAAATTCTCTGAGCTGGGTAGAGTCACCTTCACTTTGAGAAATCAAGGCCCAGAATGGAGTAGACACTGGCCTACAGTCAAAGACAAAAAGAATCTGTGGTGATGTCAGCATTCAAACTGGGTCTGTGCTTTTATATGATAATCTGCTGTCGAGAGAAACTGGAGAAGAGCGGGAAAGAAAGGCAGAATGTTTAGAGGAGGAATGAGAATCACAAAGTAGGGGGCCGCTGGGGGCAGGCGATATTGCAGGTGGGAGGCAATTTCTCATATGAAGCGACCCTGCAAGAACGTGCCTCTGCTTCAAAGTGAGCTCCTTCTCGCTCTGCAAAAAGGTTGGGACCAGTTGCTGGTGGGGTCCAGCGTGGCAGAAAACACTCACTTTGTACAGTGCGGCTGTGATGAGCCCTAGCAGCAGCAGACCCCCCACGGAGCTGCCCACGATGAGGGGTGTGGGGTTGTGGATCTCGTACTTCTCCAGCACCGTCACTGTCTGAAGTGGAGGTGACCCCATCAGAAAGCGCCTGTCCTCCTGCCATCCCAGGCTCCCCACGGGTTCCCCAACCTTTAACTCCTTGGCCCTGCTCCTTGGCCCTGCTCCAAAGGGTGAGATGCAGCAGCACCCATGCCCTTAGGGACAGCTGTCCTGCCCAGAGACCTTCACCCTCTTCCCCCCAGGTTTGCAAAAAGAACCCCCAGCACCGCAGATGGAGCCCCAGGGGCCCTCTTTCCCACCACAGTCTCTACCTGAGCACTCATAAATGCCTCCTGTCCCGGAAGCTGGGAGTACACGGATGTGTCGAATGTAATTTCAGCCATACTCACGACCGATACCTTCTTCTGCGATGTCTGTAAAGGGGTTGGGGAAACCTGTGGAACTGGCTCTGGGGAGACTCAGAGCTCGGGGGATGCCCTGGCTTGCAGATGGGCACAGACACGCCAGGTCCCGCCTGAGTCCGGGGCAGGGGCTCTGCCATTGCACCCACACACCTGGCGGACCCAGCCAAAGCTGAGGTTGCCCTTCAGGGTGAAGTCCAGCTCCTCCTGGACACTGAAGGAGGGGATGTCACAGCGGAACCGCAGGCAGCCAGCAATGGAGCAGTCCTGGTGGCAGAAAAATCTCATCAGGCTGAGAAGGATGAGTATGAAGGTCGGAGGGAGCATTACTCGGTGTGATTTGAGGGCAGTGGCCGAATCTGAATGCAAAAGGCTAGTTCAACAGGATGGACGTGGAACATGAACTCCTGGGTGAAATTTCTCTGATGTGCTGCCTGCAATGAGAGCTGGCCCAGAGCCCTCCTCACCAGCACAGGATTCTTCTGAATGTGCGCCAGGAAGTCAGACACTGGGGGTGCAATTTTCTCCAAGGAGCACCGAAGGGATGGGTCCTGGGGGAAAACGCAGAGAACAGGCGTCTCAGCTGGGACCTCAGGGACTCATGAGGGGCACAGCGAATCCAGGTAAAAGTGCATTCACAGAGCCACACACAGTCCTTGGGTACCTGGGGATGGGACACCTCCACCTCCGTCCACACAGCCTCCTGATTCAGCTCCACAGGCACCCAGAAGTTGATGCTGACAGGCAAGTCCCTCTGTCCGAGGTTGTTGACCTATACAAAGGGCGGTGAGGGCAGAGCCCACGCCAAAGCCCATAACCCTCCCCAGCCTCCCGCCCCAGCCCAGGCTCCTGCGTCTCCACCACCTGCCTGGTATCTGTGTGTGGCCACACGGCTTTCCTTCTCCTCGGAGGCTGAGAAGTTGAAGTACTTGGTGGATTGTTCGTGGCTGGAGAGAGGAGAGGCATTGGTGGATGTGAACTACCACGGGGCCTCTGCAGGAGGCATTGGCTGAGGCATGAGGGGACAGGTGGGGCCTTGGCGTGTCCTAGAATGGGGGCTGTGGCTGAGTTAGGTTAAAAGAGAGTTTAGAGGCCAGGCACAGTGGCTCACGCCTGTAATCCCCACACTTGGAGGCTGAGATGGGCAGATCACCTAAGGTCAGGAGTTCGAGACCAGCCTGGTCAACTGGAGAAACCCCGTCTTTACTAAACATACAAAAATTAGCCAGGCGTGGTGGCGGGTGCCTGTAATCCCAGCTACTCAGGAGGCTGAGGCACAAGAATTGCTTGGAGCCAGGAGGCAGAGGTTACAGTGAGCTGAGATTGCCCCACTGCACTCCAGCCTGGGCAACACAGTGAGACTTGGTCTCAAAAAAAAAAGAGAGTTTAGAAAAGCAGGGCTGGGCTTCTAAACAAGGGCTAAGTGGCTGAGTGCAGTGGCCCAGACCTATAATCCCGGCACTTTGGGAGGTCGAGGTAGGAGGATCACTTGAGTCCAGGGTTCAAGGTCAGCCTGGGCAACATAGTAAGATTCCATCTCTACAAAAAAAAATTTGTTAATTAGCCAGGCAGGGTGGCACATATCTGGAATCTCAACTCCTTGGGAGGCTGACGTGGGAGGATCACTTGATTCCAAGAGGAGTTCAAGGCTGCAATGAGCTGTGATCACACCACTGTACTCCAGCCTGGGCAACAGAGCAAGACATGGGCTCGTAAAAAAAAAAAAAAAAAAATGGGTGCAAAGAGCTCGTAGCTGCCTGCAGTGGGGCTGGGCAGTGGGTACAGTGAACGGAGAAGAGAGAGCTCTGCCACTGACCAGCAGGAGAGCAGGGGCCAGGGCCTGCCGCCACCCCACCCTGCGCTTTCCTTCCAGCCCTTCGTGGAGGTATAGTATGCCAGGGGCTGTTGACCAAATGCTATTGAGCATTGCCCCTTCTCGGTCCCCCACAGGCGTCCCCCGGGATCCTTTTCTCCCATTTCCTTGGCTTTTCTGGGCCTGGGGCTTGGAGGTAAGGGAGGGCCCACAGCAGGCTCTTCACAGGGTCTCAGTTTAAGGTCCCGAGCCCTTCTTGGGCACAAGCCTGGAGACCCAGTGGCCAGCTGTGACTGTCACACCAGTGGCTGGTCTCACTTCTGCCTCACTGCTTCACTCTTCTGGCACCTGTCCTCTAGCTGGCATAGTCCAAATGCCAGCCCACCACACCTACTCTGGGGCCTCATTCCTTCTCTGCCAATTTTTTGCAGAGATGGGGTCTCACTATGTTGCCCAGGCTGATCTCGAACTCCTGGCCTCAAGCGATCGTCTCACCTTGGCCTCCCCGCAAAATGCCCCAACCTGGCACTCCGTGTACCCCAACCCACAGGGTCACATCTGCCATGTGTGACTGAGCTGTGGGCCACACATGCCTAGAGGAGGTGAGCTCTGCCAGTGGGGCCCCTGTCAGCAGGTGTGAGAGCCTGGGCACAGCCCAGCACACAAGCTCAGAGCGTGCACCTGGCTGGGAGCCCCCACATGCGCAGGTGCAGGTGAGGGTGGAAAACACCAGGCAGAGGAGAACATCCAGCAAGGCTGGATGTTCTGATTTTGATCACACATAATAGGGGCTCAGTAAATCTTCGTTGAATGTCTATTGAACGTATGGGAAATAACCACAGTGCTGTGCCTGCCACACAGCAACTTTGAGGAAGGCATTGGCTGAAGGGAGGTGTCTGCTCAAACTTGACCTTTTAGTTTCAAGCACCTTATCTCACCCTCCCTGGCAGTAGTTCAAGGCCCTGTGTTTTTGTTGTTGTTTTGTTTTGTTTTTTGAGACAGAGTTTTGCTCTTGTCCCCAAGGCTGGAGTGCAATGGCACAATCTCAGCTCACTGCAACCTCTGCCTCCCGAGTTCAAGTGATTCTGCTGCCTCAGCCACCCAAGAAGCTGGGATTACAAGCACCTGCCACTACACCCAGCTAATTTTTGTATTTTTAGTAGAGATGGGGTTTCGCCATGTTGACCAGGCTGGTCTTGAACTCCTGACCTCAGGTGATCTGCCCACCTCAGCCTCCCAAAGCGGTGGGATTACAGGTGTGAGCCACCGTGCCCGGCCAGCCCTGTCTTTTTAACCAGCTTCTCCCTGACATACAGCCTCTGTGGCAGGCAGGTCATCTGTCCCTATCCTTCCCTAAGGGTACTGGGAAGAGGAGGAGGGGCTTCTAAATGCCCTGCAGGGTACAAGTGTTTTCCCAGGACAAGAAGAAATGACCTGTCCAGATACCAACGGCCCCTCGATGCTGTGGACCCTTCCGTGTTTAATTGACGCCTCTCCTTCCAAGGGGCCCTAGCCCCATCTCAGAAACCCACATCCCCTGCACCCCTGCAGTACAGAACCACATGGCCCTAGATGGGATTCAGGCTGGGACCAGGATAACTTTGCTCCCCAGTGAGGCTTGGAAGAATATCAAAGGTAGGGATATGTCTCATATCTCCTGGGGAAGCCAAGAGAATGTTGGTGCTTTTGAGAAAGGCTTTTAACCTCTATTAAAACTGGGATATAACAATATTATTATTATCATAACTAGACAACAATAAACATTTGTTGACGGCTGGGCATGGTAGCTCATGCCCATAATCCCAGCACTTTGGGAAGCCAAGGCAGATGGATCACTTGAGGTCAGGAGTTTGAAATCAGCCTGGCCAACATGATGAAACCCTGTCTCCACTAAAAATACAAAAATTAGCTGGGCGTGGTAGTGCATGCCTGTAATCCCAGCTACTCCAGAGGCTGAGGCAGGAGAATCACTTGAGCTTGAACCTGGGAGGCGGAAGTTGCAGTGAGCCAAGATCATGCCAATGCACTCCAGCCTGGGCAACAGAGCGAGAATCTGTCTCAAAAATAAATAAATAAACAAATGAACATGGGAAAAGGACACTAACAGATACTTCTCAAAAGAATACATATATGATGTTTCAGTAATAAAACATTAACCAAAAGGTAAAATAAAAAGAACATTTTACAAGTGGCCAAAAAAATTATGGAAAAAATGCTCAGCATCACTAACCATCAGAGAAATGCAAATCGAAACCTCAGTGGGAAGCCATCTCACACCAGTCAGGGTGAATATTATTAAAACGTCAAAACAACAGATGCTGGTGAGGCCGCAGAGAAAAAGGAACCCTTCTACACTGCTGGTGGGGAAGTAAATTAGTTCAGCTACTGTGGAAAGTAGTCTGGACCTTTCTCAACAAACTTAAACACAGAGCTACCATTTGATCGAGCAATCTCATTACTGGATATATCCCTCTCTTTCCCCAAAGTAAATCATTCTACTGAAAAGAGACATGCACTCATATGTTCACAGCTGCACTACTCACAATAGCAAGGACATGGAATCAACCTAGATGCCCATCGGTGGAACAGTGGATAAGGAAAATGTACATATACACAGTTCATATACACCACGGAATACTATGCAGCCACGAAAAGAATGAAATCATGTCCTTTGCAGTAACAGGGATGGAGCTGGAGTCCATAATCCTAAGAAAATTAGGGTAGGAAGAGAAAAAAAATCACCCATGTTTTCACTTACACGGGGGAGCTAAGCATTGGGCACACACGGACATAAAGATGGGAAGAACAGGCACTGTGGACACTGGAGCAGGCAGGGAGGATGTGGGTTGAGAAACTGCCTATCGGGTCCTGCGTTCACTACCAGGGTGGTGGGATTCATAGTCAAAACCTCAGCATCATGCAATATTCCCATGTAACAAATCTGTACAGGTACCCCCTGATCTAACATCAAAGTTGAAATAAAAATTTTAAAAATAGCCCGGGTGTGGTGGCTCACGCCTGTAATCCCAGAACTCTGGGAGGTCAAGATGGGCAGATCACCTGAGGTCAGGAGTTGGAGACCAGCCTGCCAACATGGTAAAACGCTGTCTCTACTAAAATTACAAAAATTAGCTGGCCGTGATGGTGTGTGCCTGTAAGCCCAGCTACTCCAGAGGCTGAGGCAAGAGAATCGCTTGAACTTGAACCTGGGAAGCGGAGGCTGCAATGAGCCAAGATTACACCACTGCACTCCAGCTTGGGCAACAGACTGAGACTCTGCCTCAAAAAAAAAAATAATAATAAAATAAAATAGAAAACAACAACTTGTGCCTGAATTTAAGACAAGAGCCCATTGTCATCCCTGGAGTCCACATGCCACACAATTATTAAAGATGCAACACTATTTCTGTGCAAATCACCAGTTTCAAATGTTTGAGATGTGTGAGTTTCTTGCTCTTTTTCTCTAAAGCCTACCACTTAGAAGAGCATTGACCACCAGCGGTTTGTAGAACATGTTTTAAGAAACATCACTCTAGGGTCAATTTTTTTTTTTTTTTTTTTGAGATAAGATCTTGCTCTGTTGCTCAGGCTGGAATGCGGTGGTCCAATCGCAGCTCACTGTATCCTCAACTTCCCAGGCTCAAGTGATCCTCCTGCCTCAGCCTCCCAAATAGCTGGAACTACAAGCACATGCCACCGTGCCTCGGTAATTTTTATCAAGGATAAAAGGAAACAAAAAAACAAAACAAAACAAACGTGTTGACTGGTAAGTGCTGCCGGCAATATTATCTAACACCCAAAACCTAACACGTCTCAGATGTTCTGCTGCTGCGGGGGACAAGGTCTACCCCCATCAGGGTGAGAGACAAGAGCCCCTTTGCCTGTGGCGGGGCGCCTGCTGACCTGCTGGCCACAGTGTAGACGGCGTACTTCACAGGGAGCTCCAGCTGGAAGGTGGTCTTGCTGGTCCTGGGGGTGTTGTTCTCACTGGAGAAAGAGGAGAGACCCAGTTGCCAAAGGCCCCAGAGGAGGAGGATGTGGAGTGGGGATGGAGATGGCACTGCCCCTGGCCTGGCCCAGCTCACCTGCTCACATTGGCTACCAGAAGCAGCCGGTCTCCCAGGACAGCCTTGGGGGAGATGTCGAAGGTAACCAAGAAGGTGATCTGAGGAAAGGCACTGAGGAGGTCACAGAGCAGTCAAGACAGGGCGGGGAGGGGAGCGGCGAGGGAACAGAAGCCGGGCTGACCTGGGCACCCTCACGGAAGATGAGGTGGTTGATTCTGCAGCTGGTGCTCCAGGTGTCCTGGCTCCCAGCTGGGGCGCTGTCACATGTCAGGCGCAGGGAGCGCAGCTGTCCCTGTTTCTAGGCACAAGAAAAAGTAGAGGAGTATTAGTTGAAATTGAAAGCAACAGCAAAAACCACAATTACTTTTGCATCAAACTACTATAACAGTATTCCAAAGATACTCCGTAAAGCAGTGATGAAGCTTCCTGGGGCCCACCTTAAGGTATGTTTTTGTTTGTTTTTTGAGACCAGGTCTCACTCTGTCACCCAGGCTAAAGAGTAGTGAGGCAGTCACAGCTCACTGCAGCCTCAAACTCCTAGGCTCAAGCCAACCCCTCACCTCAGCCTCCCAAGTAGCTGGGACTATAGGCACACACCACCATGCCTGGCTAATTTAAAAAAAAAAAAAAATTTTTTTTGAGATGGGATCTCACTATGTTGCCCAGGCTGGTCTTGAACTCCTGGCCTCAAGCAGTCCTCCCATCTTGGGCCCCTCAAACACTAGGATAACAGGTTTAAGCCATCACGCCCAGGCAAGGTTATGTTTTTTAAATCTCCCCCATAGCTATCTGGTCAAACTTTCTTCAAAAGTAGAAATCTCAAATTTATTAAAATGTTCACCTTTTTATTGTTATTTTAAAGGCCTCTTATTATGGAAATTTTGAAACACATTCAAAAGCAGAGAGACTAGAAAATCAACCCCCATATAGCCATCACTCATTTTAAGTAACCAACATTTTTCTACTCTTGTTTCTACTCTGTTCTCTTTCTGAATACTTTAAAGCATGTCCCAAACATCATATTTGTGGGAAGTAGAAAAGTTCCTCTTTAAAGTTTTCTTTCTTGTTAAAGAATAAATTTGCTAATAACTCTTTGTTAAGCCCTTATCCTATGTAGCTGTTAAGACATGCCATGCTTACAGGCACGTAATACATTCTATATCCTTGTACTTTAACAAGATATCTGTGCTGGATGTGCTCACAGGCATGTCGCAGCTGGCAGCCTATGCCCATTACCTGTTTAAAAAAGTTTTAAGTTGTTAGCCAATCAGGTTTTAGTTTAAATTGTGAGGTCTGGCTCCAGCCAGCGGAGATCAGACACAGCAGTAAGGACGACCCCAAATGCATAAGGGATAAATATGACTGCTTTTCCTTCGTTCATCGTACTCTGGTGGCAAGATGACTAGCGAGAGTACCCTTCCTGCAGTCCAGGAAGTAAAAATTGCGTTGCTGAAAGATCCTTTGTCTCAGTGCTGATTTTTCTTTGTGGCACTGAGTATCTGTTTCCAACAATATTGTTTCATCTAGAAATAGTGTACACCACCAACAGATAAGGGTATTTTAAATGTAACCACAAGACCCAACAAATCACAGTCAACAAAATTAACAATTACTCCTTTATATACCAATTTACCAGTTATGCTCTGTTTTCTTAGATTGCCTCCAAAAATGTTACTTTACAACTCATGTATTAAAATCAATATTCAACACATTACATTTGGTTGATAGGTCTAGGGTCACTTTCAATGACAATGATCACCCCTCACATGCAGAGATGGCCTTTCCTGGTGTGTTCTTTGATACCAAAATGTGCCTGTGTCGGGAATACGAGACTAAGAGAAACAGAGCAGATTAACAACCAAACATTATGTGTGGACTTAGCTTGAATTTTGGTTCAAATAGACCAGAGGTAAAAAGACATTTTTGAGACAATTACAGAATTTTGACTACTATCTTAATACCAAGGAACCACTTATTTCATTGGGTGTGATAATGGTGTTGAGGTCATATAAGATGTCCTCATTGGTTAGAACTATAGAGTGTGTCTTTGTCTGTTCCCTGCTGCTATAACAGATTACCACAAACCAGGTAATTTATCAATAGAAGCTTCATGTTTCTGGGAACTGGGAAGTCCAAGAGCATGGCACCAGTATCTGGTGAGGGCCTTTGTCCTACGTCATCTAACAGCAGAAGACAGAAGGGCAAGAGAGCACATGTGAGAGTGAAAGGGAAAGGGGACCAAACTCATCCTTTAATTAGGAACCCACTCCTGGGCTGGGCACGGTGCCCCCGCCTGTAATCTCAGCACTTTGGGAGGCTGAGGCGGGTGGATCACTTGAGGTTAGGAGTTCAAGACCCGCCTGACCAACATGGTAAAACCCTGTCTCTACTAAAAATACAAAACTTAGCTTGATGTGGTGGTGGGTGCCTGTAATCCCAGCTACTTGGGAGGCTGAGACACAAGAATTTCTTGAACCTGGGAGGCAGAGACTGCAGTGAGCCAAGATCATACCACTGCACTACAGCCTGGGTAACAGAGCGAGACCTTGTCTCAAAAAACAAAACCAAAAAAACAAAACAAAACAAAAAAAACCACCCTACTCCTGAAATAACTAATCTACTCTCAAAATAATAGTATTCATCCATTCATGAGGGCTTTGCCTTCATAACCTAATCACCCCTTAAAGGCCCATCTTTCAACACTGTTGCATTGGGAATTAAGTGTTCAATGCGTGAACTTTTGTTGATGCATTCATGTCATAGCAGAGTGAATAAGGAGGAGTACAATGACCCCCATGCCTGAGATTAGCTTTAAAATAATTCAGCATGTCTGGCACAGTCTGTAACTCGTGTCTGTAACTCCAACTCTTTGGGAGGCTGAGATGGGAGGATTGCTTGAACCCAGGAATTAGAGACCAACTTGGGCAGCACAGTAAGACCCCCACTCTACAAAAAGATTAGCTAGCTGGGCATGGTGGCGCATGCCTGTAATCCCAGCTACTCAGGAGGCTGAGGCAGGAGAATCGCTTGAACCGGGGAGCTGGAGGTTGTGGTGAGCTGAGATTGTGCCATTGCACTCCAGCCTGGGCAACTGGAGGGAAACTCTGTCTCAAAAAAAAAAAAAAAAAAAAAAAAAAAAGCCAGGTGTGGTAGTTTGTGCCTCTAGTTCTAGCTACTCAGGAGGCTGAGATGGGAGGATTGCTTGAGCCCAGGAGGTCGAGGCTACAGTGAGCCGCGATTGTACCATTGCACTCCAGCCTATGTGACAGAGCGAGACCCTGTCTCAAAAATAAATAAATAAATAAATAAATAAAATATGTTAGCAAAGGGGAAAAACTGAAACAAATGTGGCAAAATGTTGCTAATTGTTGAATCTGGGTGATAAATTTTGGGGAGGTTTGTTGTAAATGTTTTAAATTTTTCATAATAACTTTTTTTTGAGACAGAGTCTTGCTCTGTCACCGGGCTGGAGTGCAGTGGCACAATCTTGCCTTACTGCAAACTCTGCCTCCTGGGTTCAAGCAATTGTCCCACCTCAGCTTCCCGAGTAGCTGGGATGACAGGCGCACACCACCACACCAGCTAATTTTTGTATTTTTAGCAGAGATGGGGTTTCAACATGTTGGCCAGGCTGGTCTCGAACTCCTGATCTCAGGTGATCCACCTGCCTTGGCCTCCCAAAGTCCTGGGATTACAGACGTGAGCCACTGCACCTGGCCATAATAACATTTTTGTTTAAAAAGTCTGGTTCTCTTTGACTCCCTGTGGTCCTGGTTCTATATTCTAGTGCAGGGATTGGCAAACGACAGCCACTACCTATATTTATACATAAAGTTTTGCTGTATCTCAGGTATATTCATTTATAATCTCAATCGTGTCAACGGCTGCTTTCACTCCGTAACACCAGAGGTTAGCAGCTGCAACACAGACCACGTGGCCCCCAAAGACAAGATATTTACTATCTAGCCCTTGGTAGAAAAAGGTTGCCATGCCTTAATGCAGAATGACCAGTAAATTCAAGCCCTTGCTTCTACAGAACAGCATTTTTAAGTAGTTGAAGGATGAGATACATTTTCCTTTAAAAGAGGAATATTGACATGATATGGAGTAGAAAGAAATTTGGGCAGGATTCCCTCTGTCTCCGCATTCGTAGCCTCTCAGGAAATCATTCCTGTTAGTGTCCTCAAACTGCGATGCCCGAAGTTGAACACCACAAGAGCAGAGGCAAGCCCCAGCTGGCACAACCACCTCCAGGCCCCCTCCTGAACTGCACAGGAATCTATGCTGACACCCAGCCCAGCCACCTCCTCCTTCCCCAGAGGGAGCACCTGGCCCTGTGCCACGTGGCGGTAGGACAGTCCCGCCGGGTGAGAGAAGGTGATGGTGGTTCCGTAGGAGTCTTCCCCGTCGTTCCACACCATCACTTCTGCATTTAGTTCCAGGTTACTCCCCACCAGCAGGGTCTTCAAGCTGGGTATCGGGGAGGGGAAGAAGATGATTCTGTGACTGAGGCTAGAAATAATCTGGGAATAAAATGGGTTGGGTGGGGACATGGGAGATAGACAAGGGACAGGACACCTGGGTTCTTCTTCTTCTTCTTCTTCTTTTTTTTTTTTTTTTTAAGAGACAGAGTCTTGCTCTGTCACCCAGGCTGGAGTGCAGTGGTGTGATCATGGCTCACTGCAGCCTCCAACTCCAGAGCTCAAGCAATCCTCAAGCTTCAGCCTCCCAAGTAGCTGGGACTATAGGCACGCTCCACCACACCCAGCTGACTTTTCTGTTGTTGTTTTGTTTTTGTAGAAATGGGATCTCACTTTGTCACCCAGGCTGATCCCTAACTCCTGGCCTCAAAAGATCCTCCCGCCTCAGCCTCCCAAAGTGCTGGGATTACAGGCACGAGCCACCGTGCCCAGCCAGGACACCTGTTTTGAGTATAGGATGAGACAATGTTAGGGAGAGCCAGGGACAGGAGTCCCAGGTTCCAGGAAGGAGGCTGGGGTGCCAGGGCAGGTCTAAGGCGGGGTGAGGCGGGGGCACTCACCCTGGGAAGCTGAAGGAGATGCCGAGATCATCCTGGCAGATATGGTCGGCTCCACAGTTCTTCTCAAAGGGGAGCTGCGTGGGAAGGCAATGGAGGGTTTTCTCTGAGACCCAGGCCCCACACTGTGCGCCCTCTTTGGGAGACCCCAGCGCCAGGACTCACGGAGGCTGTGAAGTATCTCTGAGCATCTATGGCCAGCATAGGCTGCAGGTTTCTGAAGTAAGGGAGGGGCTCACCCACCAGCGTGAAGTTCAGACGCAAGGTGATGGGAGTCACGGAGTCCTCCACGCAGGCCTGGGGGATGGGCATGGGGGAGGGAGGAGGGTAAAGGGAACACTGTGCAGAGCTGTGCTCACCACCACCACCACCCCCACCTGCAGTTCTTTTCCAGCTCCCACCTGGCTTCCCCTTCCTTCAGGGCCTGCTCAGCGTCACCACCTCCAGGAGGCCTCCCTGATGCCCTCTTAGTTCTCTCCCCTGGTTTGTCTGTTTTTTTCTCCTCCCCACAGACCTCCCAATCAGCAATGACTGTTTTGGCCACTGCTCTGCCCCTGATCCTCAGGGCACAGCCTGTCTTTGAGGAGCAACTTGGTAAATGCGTGTCCAGTGAATGCCTGAAAAAAAAAAAAACCCCAGCCGGAAGCCCCAGACCTTGTTCTCAGGCTGCCCAATTCTCTTTCCTGAAATCCAACCGTGTAGCCCCTGGCCGCTGCAGCGGATCTCATCACTCGTTGGCTCCCTCACTGGCTAACGTGCAGTAAGCACCTCCTGCATGCTGGTCCCGTGCTGGGCTGAGCCAGAGGGAGGCTGGAACGCAGCCTGTTCTCTCCTGCCCTGCCCTCTGCCAGCCCCAGCGTGGCCGCCACCCACGCCTGTGCCCAGTCGCACCGGGAGCAGCAGATCGAAGTTTTCACAGTGTGTCTTCAGCCCGAGGACTTGGACTCGGCTCAGACTCCGGCTCTTTGTTTCTTGGAAGGTGGCGCGGGGACTCAGGCGGCCAGGGTCGAGGGCCAGGTCCAAGGTCACAGAGCTTTGGAGGTCACCTGTAGGTGGTCGCAGGGATGGTGTTGAGAGAGACAAAAACCCCTGGGGTGGACAACGTGCAGGATGGGAGACAGGCGTCCAGGGCTAGGGGACTCCAGAGGTCAGGGCATCCTGGGTTGGAGGGAGAGGACTCACGGCTCCCGAGCAGGTTCTTGGAAATGTTGTCAATGTAAAGGCAGATGCTGGCGTGTCCCAGGGGCTGGTCAGAGACCTCCTGCTCCCGACACTCAAACGCAGACCGGGGGATCTCGGCAGGTATGAACTGCATGCTTGCCTTCACCCAGAGCACAGGTCTGGTCCTGCGGACAGAGCACCGACCTGAGGACAGCCCCTCAGCTCCTGGGAGCACGACAGGGGGTGGGGTGAAGGGTGGGCGCCCCGGTCTGAACCTAGAACCACCCGGGGAGCGTCCAAGGAAGGCTACTCTCACCTGAGCAGGAGCACCTGGCCCCGGGCCCCCACCGCCAGGTCCACCAGTCCATCCTGGGTGAGGTCCTGACCGCCGCTCAGCGCCTGCCCAAAATACTGCAACCTAGGGGAGAGCTGGGAGCCCGTGATCCGCTGGCCAGAAGAGAAAAGGGTGAATCAGGCTGGAAGGCTACGGAAGAACTTGGAGATAAGTAACAAGGGGAATATGGAGGTAGGGCCGTGGGGGAAGGACAGAAGGGGTGAGATGTGAACAGATGTCACCAAGAAGAGCCTGACAAGAGGAGGTAGGGGTGGGGAGATGGTTGCTAAGAAAGAGCTGTAGGAGTGGAGATTGGAAGGGTGCCCTGGTGACCCGAGTGTCATTCATTCAGTCAGTCTCTAGTTCCAATTCTGACTCCTCCACCTCTGAGCCACGAGGCGGGGGGCAAGGACTCAATCTTTCTGTGCCTCAGTTTCCTCATCTTTCACATAAAGATACTATGAGCTCAGAGTTTAGCTGTGCACAGGAGAGGAATTCCTATGGTTCTCAGAACAGCACCAGGAACATAGCCAGCAGTCCATAACATATCACAATGAGTATTAAGGCTGCAAGGACCTCAGCGCTCGTCCAGCCTCACCTCCCTCATTGCACAGATGCAGGAGAAAGGTGGGGCCAGCGCCAACCCACAGAGCCTTTAAGAGGCTGACTCCAGACCTAACACCAGACCCTCCAACCCCAAGCCCAAGTCCCTTTTTTGTTTCTTGCTGTCACTCTGTCTCTTCAAAGGACAAGAAAAAGCCAGGATGGGTGGGGAGTGGTTACAGCCACACCCAGATTCCACCCTCCTGGGCACTGCCTCGCCTGTGGAATGTATCCCCTTCGTTACCAGTGCTCATGCTATGCCTAGTCCCTGAAAGAATGTGCCCTTTAAATCTCTGTGCACCCCTGAAGCTAGCAGACACTAAAAGCAATAATAATGGGCCAGGCGCGGTGGCCACGCCTGTAATCCCAGCACTTGAGGAAGCCAAGGAGGGTGGATCATCTGAGGTCAGGAGCTCCAGACCAGCCTGGCCAACATGGTCGAACCTCGTCTCTACTAAAAATATAAAAATTAGCTGGGCATGTTGGCACACACCTGCAATCCAAGCTATTCAGGAGGCTGAGGCAGGAGAATAGCTTGAACTCAAGAGGTGGAGGTTGCAGTGAGCAGAGATTGCACCACTGCACTCCAGCCTGGGTGACAGAGCGAGACTCTGTCTCAAAAAGCAAGTAATCATAATGGGCCGGGAACACTGACTTGTGCCTATGGTCCCAGCTACTCAGGCGGCTTTGGCAGGGTGATCTCTTGAGCCCAGGAGTTTGGGGCTACAGTCAGCTATGATTATGCCACTGCACTCCAGCCTGAGCTACACAATAAGACCCTGTCTCTAAAAAAGAAAAAGAAAAGAAAAAAGAATAATAATAAAATTTAAAAAGAAATTGACCAATCATTGAGGGAGTCCAGAAAAGCTCGGTGTACCCCCTCTAAATCTAAAATAAAAGTTCAAAAATAAAAATTAAAAAATTTGGTTAAAAACACTAACGATTGTTTGATCCTTTAGCAAAGCGAAATCTTTTTGCTGGCAGAGGGTCTTGCCTGATGGTGACATGGCTGACTGATCACAGTGGCAACTGCTGGAGGTTGGGATGGCTGGGGCCATTTCTTAAGACAGCGAGGAAGTTTGCTGTATGGATGGACTCTTGCTTTCCTGAAATTTCTCTGGAGCATGCAATGCTGACTGATAACCTTTTGTCCGCCATAGAGTTTCTTTGAAAGTTGGAGTCAATCCTCTCAAACTCTGTGCTGTTTTATCAACTACATTTATGTAATATTCTTTTTTTTTTTTTTTTTTTGAGACACAGTTTTACTCTGTCACCCAGGCTAGAGTGCAGAGGTGCAATCTCGGCTCACTGCAATCTTCACTTCCTGGGTTCAAGCGATTCTCCTGCTTCAGCCTCCTGAGTAGCTGTAATTACAGGTGTGCGCCACCATGCCCGGCTAATATTTTTGTATTATTAGTAGGGACAGGGTTTCACCATGTTGGCCAGGCTGGTCTCAATCTCCTGACCTCAGGTGATCCGCCTGCCTCAGCCTCCCAAAGAGTGGGGATTGCAGGCGTGAACCACTGCGCCCAGCCTGTTTATATAATATTCTTAATCTTGTGTATTGTCATTTCAGTAATGTTCATAGCATCTTCACCAGGAATAAATTCTTTCTGAAAAAAAAGACCACTTTCTTTGCTCTTCCATAAGAAGCAAGTCCTTATCTTGCTTCCTATATCTGTGCAAGTTTCATCATGAGATTGCAGCAATTCAGGCTCCACTTCGAATTCTGGTATTTCCACCACATCCGTAGTCACTTCCTCTCGCTGAAGTCTTAAACCACTCAAAGTTATCCATGAGAACTGGAATCAGCTTCTCTCAAACTCTTGTTAATGTTGATATTTTGGCCCCCTCTCATGAATAATGAATGTTCTTAATGGCATCTAAAATGGTGAATTTTTTTCCAGAAGGTTTTCAATTGACTTTGCCCAGATCCATCAGAAGAATCGCTACCTATGGCAGCTATAGCGTTATGAAATGTATTTCTGAAATCATAAGACTTGGAAGTCGAATTTACTCCTTGGTCCATGGACTGCAGAATGGACGTGTGTTTGCAGGCATGAAAACAACACGGATCTCCTTGAACTTCTCCATCAGAGCTCTTGGGCGACCAGGTGCATTATCACTGAGCAGCAAACTGTGGAAAGAAATCTATTTTTCTGAGCAGCAGGTCTCCAGGGTAGGCTTAAAACACTCAATCGACCACGCTGCAGACAGACGTGCTGCCACTCCAGCTTTGTTCCATTTCTAGAGCACAGGAAGGGTAGATTTAGTATCATTCTTCAGGGTCCCGGAATTTTCAGAACAGTAAATGAGCAATGACTACAACTTGAAGTCCTACCAGCTGCATTAGCCTCTAACAGGAGAGTCAGCCTGTCCTTTGAAGCGTTGAAGCCAGGCATTGACTTCTCTGCCATGAAAGTCCTAGACGGCATCTTCTTCCATCAAAGCCCATTTCATCTACATTGAAAACCTGTTGCCGAGTGTAGCCACCTTCATCAGGGATTTCCCGGAGAACTTGCTGTGGTTTCTCCATCAGCCCTTGCTGCTTCCCCTTGTGCTTTTATGTTTTGGAGACGGCTTCTTTCCTTCAACCTCATGAACCCACCTCTGCTGACTTCAGACTTCGATTCTGAAACTTCCTCACCTCTCTCAGCCTTCGTAGAACTGAAGACCATTCGGGTCTCGCTCTGGATTAGGCTTTGGCTGAGGGGAATGTTATGGCTGCTTTGGTCTATCCAGATCACTCAAACTGCCTTCATAATAGCAATGAGGCTGTTTCACTTATTATTCATATGTTCACTGGAGTAGCACTCTTAATTTCCTTCATTAACTTTTTCTTTGCATTCACAATTTGGCTAACTGTTTAGTGCAAAAGGCCTAGCCTTTAGCCCGTCTTGGCTTTTGACATGGCTTCTTCACCAAGCTTAATCATTGCTAGCTTTTGATTCAAAGTGAGAGATGTGCCAGACGTGGTGGCTCATGTTGGTATTCCCAGTTTGTTGGGAGGTTGAGGCCAGCAGATCGCTTGTGGTCAGGAGTTCAAGACCAGCCTGGCCAACATGGCAAAATCTTATCTCTACTAAAAAATGCAAAAATTAGACAGGCATGGTGGCACGCAATGCGGGAGAATCACTTGAGTCCTAGAGGGGGAAGCTGCAGTGAGCTGAGATCACATCAGTGCACTCCAGCCTGAGTGAAGAGTGAGACCCTGCCTCAATCAATCAATAAACAGTGAGAGACATGTGACTCTTCCTTTCACTTAAAGATCATTGTAGTTATTATATGGCTTAATTTCAATATCGCAGCATCGCAAGGAATAGAGAGGCCAGAGGAGAGGGAGAGAGAGCCCGGGGAACTATCAGTGGCGGAGCAGTCAGAACACACACATTTGTGAAGTTCGCCTTCGTATATGGATGAGCTTCATGGTGCCAGAAAACAATCGTAACATCAAAGATCACTGATCACAGATCACCACCAGAGACGTGGTAAGTACAAAAAAGCCTGAAACACCATGAGAATTACCAAACGTGACACAGAGACACAAAGTGAGTGCGTGTGGTTGGATAAATGGCACCAATCGACTCGCTCCGGGCAAGGTCGCCAAACACCTTCACCGTGTAAAACACGCAGTGTCTGCAAAGCGAAGAAAACAAGGTACACCTGCGTGTGATGGGTTGTGGGATGGAGTGGAAAGAAGGAAAAAATCATGGTGGGGCAGTGAATCCAGAAAGGCCGCCTCTTAGAATCAGGCCTGTGGGTGTAACCAAGCAATATTTGTAACCGAGGGTCTACACAAATATACCTCAAAGCCACCGCAGCAAAGGAAAGTCAAACAAATCGGTACAGACTGTTTGCAGTTTCATGACAACACGTGGGCCCTTGCTATTCTCAACAGTCTTTCAACCTCTTCTTTAGATTCCCCTTCCATTGTTAGACTATGTGGTTTTCATTTCTTTGTTTTGAGATGGAGTCTCACTCTGTCACCCAGGCTTGAGTGCAGTGGTGCAATCTCAGCTCACTGCAACTTTTGCCACCTGAGTTCAAGCTATTTTCTTGCCTCAGCTTCTCAAGTAGCTGGAATTACAGGCATGCGCCACCACCCCTGGCTAATTTTTGTATTTTTGGTAGAGATGGGGTTTCACCATGTTGGCCAGGCTGGTCTCGAACTCCTGACCTCAAGTGATCCACCTGCCTTCGCCTCCCAAAGTGCCGGGATTACAGGCGAGAGTCACCGCATCTGGCCAGCTGTTAAACTATCTTAATGATAGTTATAACGGATTATAACAACCTGATGCCTATTGTGTGCCAGGCACTGTGATAAGCACTTCACGCATACTAACTCATGTAATCCTCACAGCAGCAGCTCAGTGAGGTTGGTTCTATTATTACCACCATTTTACCGATGAGAAAACTGAGCACAGAGAGGGTGAGTTACCTGACCAAGATCGCACAGCTGGTGTGCGACAGAACTGCAGGGACCTTCCTTGGCACTTTTTTCTTTTTGGTAATGACTTTTTTGAGCTATGGACCACATCGCACACAAGTCACCCCTTTAAAGTATATGACTTTAGTGGTTTCTGGTATGTTTCGAGAGTTGTGAAACCACTACCACAATCAATTTTAGAGCATTTCCACTACCTCAAAAAGGGACTCCACAGCCATTAGCAGTCACCCTCATGCCCCTGGCTGCCCCCCACACCCAGCCCTGTGCAACTGTTCATCTACTTTCTGTCTCTACAGATTTGCCTGTTCTGGCCCCTTGGCCTGAATACATGTGGCCTTCTGTGTCTGGCTTCCCTCACTTAACATATTTTCCAGGTGGAATTGCCAGATCACGTGGCAACTCTATGTTTAACTATTTTTTTTTTTTTTTTTTAAATGGAGTCTCACTCTGTCACCCAGGCTGGAGTGCAGTGGCATGATCTCAGCACACTGCAACCTCTGCCTCCTGGGTTCAAGTGATTCTCCTGCCTCAGCCTCCTGAGTAGCTGGGATTACAGGCACCCGCCACCACGACTGGGTAATTTTTTTTTCTTTTGTATTTTTAATAGAGATAGGATTCACCGTGTTGGCCAGGCTGGTCTCAAACTCCTGACCTCAAGTGATCCACCCACCTCGGCCTCCCAAGGTGCTGGGATTATTTGTAACCAAGGGTCTACACAAATATACCTCAAATATACCACAAATATACCCAGGCATGAGCCATCATGCCTGGCCTGTGTTTAATGTTTTGAGGACCTGCCAGACTGTTTTCCAAAGCAGCTGAGTGGATTTACACCATCCCCAGCAGCGCAGGAGGATGCCCAGTTCTCCACATCCTCACCACACCAGTCATTATCCGTAAATAAAAAAAATAGTTTTTATTTGCTGATGACCGATGACATAGAGAATCATTGTATTCACTCACTGGCCCTTGGTACTTCTTCTTTGGAGAAATGTCTATCCCTATCCAAATCGTTTGCCCTTTTTCTTTTTTTTTTTTTGGTGACACAGGGTTGTGCTGTGTCACCTGGGCTGAAGTGAAGTGATACAATCTGCAGCCTCAACCTTCTGGGCTCAGGCGATCCTCCCACCTCAGCCTCCCGAGTAATTGGGACTACAGTTACTACAGCACCACGATGTCTGGCTAATTTTTAAATTTTTTTTACAGAGATGGGGTCTCCCTATGTTGTCCAGGCTGGCCTCAAGCGATCCTCCTGCCTTGGGCTCCCAAAATGTTGGAATCACAGATGTGAGCCACCTCAAGCTGCCCCTTTGCCTATGTTTTAACAGGGCTTTCTTGACTTTTGCCAACAAAAGTAGCCCTTTGTTCTCAGGGAACCCTGCTCCCTTGGGTGGAGGGTTGCAGGAATGAGCATTTGGGGGGACCTCAATGGCAGGAAGGAATAAAATCATGTAGCATCCAGGGAGGCAAGGGGTGAATGAAAGGACAGGCTGAGATGACTAGATCTAAGTGGTTAGCAGCAGGGAGCCCCGATACTGTGCCGGGTTAGAGGTTAGAAGGCCAGAGCACCCCTCACCATCTCAGACCCACTCTGAACCAACGCCCTTGTCTTCCCCGTGCCCCAGATTCTATCTGTAAAATGAGTTTTCTGTGCCTGGCCTGTGTAGCTTGTAAAACTGGCAGGGGGCTGGACACAGCAGCTCATAACTATAATCCTAGCACTTTAGGAAGCCAAGACAGGAAGATCACCTGAGGTCACCAGTTCAAGACCAGCCTGGCCAACACAGTGAAACCCTGTCTCTACTAAAAATTAGAAAAATTAATCAGAAGTGGTGGTGTATACCTGTAATCACAGCTACTGGGGAGGCTGAGGCAGGAGAATCACTTGAACCCGGAGGCAAAGGTTGCAGTGAGTCGAGACTGTGCCACTGCACTCCAGCCTGGGTGACATAGCAAGACTCCATGTC